TTCCAAGACTGACCTAGGAAGAAACATAAAATCTAAACAGACCAATTACCAGCAATGAAATTGAAGTGGTAATCAAAAAACTACCCAAGAGCAAAACCCCTGGACCAGATGGACTCAGCTGAATTTTATCAGAAATATAAAGAATACATAATACCCATTCTCCTTAAAGTTTTCCAAAAAATAGAAGAGGAAGGAATATTTCCAAACTCATTCTATGAAGCCAGCATCACTCTAATACCAAAACCAGGCAAAGACCCCACAAAAGAAGAAAATTACAGACCAATATCCCTGATGAACATAGATGCAAAAATACTCAACAAAATATTAGCAAACTGAATTAAAAAATACATCAAGAGGATCATACACCATGATCAGGTGGGATTCATCTCAGGGATGCAAGGATGGTACAACATTCGAAAATCCATCAACATCATCCACCACATAAACAAAAAGGACAGAAGCCACATGGTCATTTCCATAAATGCTGAAAAAGCATTCGACAAAATTCAACATCCATTCATGGTAAAAACTCTCAACAAAATGGGTATAGAGGGCAAGTACCTCAACATAATAAAGGCCATATATGGCAAACCAACAGCCAACATCATACTGAACAGTGAGAATTTAAAGAGGACAAGAGAAATTAAACAAGAGAAATTAAAGAGGACACTAACAAATGGAAACTCATCCCGTGCTCTTGGCTAGGAAGAAGTAATATTGTCAAAATGGCCATCCTGCCTAAAGCAATCTACAGATTCAATGCAATCCGTATCAAAATACCGACAGCATTCTTCAACAAACTGGAACAAATAGTTCTAAAATTCATATGGAACCACAAAGGACCCGAATAGCCAAAGCAATCCTGAGAAGGAAGAATAAAGCAGGGGGTATGTCACTTCCCAACTTCAAGCTCTACTACAAAACCACAGTAATCAAGACAATTTGGCAATGGCACAAGAACAGGCCCATAGACCAGCGGAACAGAATAGAGAGTCCACATATTAACTCAAGCATATATGGTCAATATATGATAAAGGAGTCATAGATATACAATGGAGAAATGACAGTCTCTTCAACAGCTGGTGTTGGCAAAATTGGACCACTACATGTAAGAGAATAAAACTGGATCACTGTCTAACCCCATACACAAATACGAACTGGATCAAAGACCTGAATTTAAGTCATGAAACCATAAAACCTTAGAAAAAAACATAGGCAAGAATCTCTTGGACATAAACATGAATGACTTCTTCATGTACATATCTCCCCAGGCAAGGGAAACCAAAGCAGAAATGAACAAGTGGGAATATATTAAGCTGAAAATCTTCTGTACACAAAGGACACCACCTGTGGAACAAAA